TAGTAATTAAAAAAAAAACAAATAAATGATAAATAAACTAATATCCACCCACGAAAATGAAACACACCACCCACTCCACGAAGCCGACGCCGACGACGCAACCCTGCCCTCTGTTTTTCTTTTTTGCTTCTTAGGTAAACCTAATAACCTAACTTTTTTATTTTTCAACCCTCTGTTTTTCTTTCATTTTCATATACTAAAAACAATTCTCATTTTTTAAACTGCTTTTTGAATTTTGACCATTTTATTTCACTAAATTTAAACTTTATTTTTCTTAGTACCTGCATTTTGTTTCTGTCCCTTTCTTTTTTTTTACAAGGACTTGGTCTCTGTAAAAAAATATTAAAAAACTTTTACAAGGACTTTTTAAATATTTTTTGTGTTAAATTTACATATATCCTAAAAAAAATTAAAAAAAAACGTATCCCAACGTGTCCGTGTCCTAATTTTTTAGGAATTGACGTATCGTCGTGTCCTATCGTGTCCGTGTCCGTGTCCCGTATCCGTGTCCGTGCTTCTTAGCTACTCAATCAAGACTTGAATCACCTTGAAGTAAGTCCAGAGTGTACATGATTATTTTTTTTCCTAAGTATTACGAGGGGATGAAAGTGGGTCTAAGGTTTTAATTTCAAAAGACCATGTCTATAGTATATGGGCTTTATCAAACTTCTTTATTGTTTGGTTTGAAGATGCTTTGGCAAATTTGGGGATCATTCCAACCACTCTAAGATCTTCATAAAGATATGTGCTTGTTTGGATTCTTATGGGTTGGAAAAATCATTACTCTTTCCTTCAGAGTGCAGACTCTTCAGTCTTCACATAAGACTCAATCCCAATAGATTTCTCCAAGGATTGGTCTTTTGAACTTTGGTCAAGGAGCCTTTTTCTTTTTGCGTGTGTGTGGGGCTAAGAAACTGATATTTCATTGATGGTATGAAATATACAAGAGAACTCCAAGGTTGGATTACAAAAAGACCTTCTAGCTTGATCACATTTAGACTAATTAGTAAAGACACCTTAAAGCTCGAATGTTATAAGAAGTTTATTTGGTGGTGGTTGAGAAATGTAGGGCTTGTTTGGTAACATTCCCGTTTATGTTTCTATTTTCTCATTTTTAATAAAGAAAAATGTAAGAAAAATAGAATTGCATGGTCCCAACATCCATGGATTTAAGAATGACAACACTATATTTTTATTTATGTTTTGGAACTAACTGGAAATGGAAACAAGAAACTTGTTTTTGTTGTTTCCAAAATTTATATACAATTTTGAGAATGTTTATGTGAAACAAGAAACATAAATAGTTGTCAAAGGCTTAGATTTCTTAATAAAATCGGAAACGAGAAACAAGAAACGGGAACGTTACCAAACGAGCCTATAATAACTAAACATCTACATTTGTGTTGAACAACTTTTAGCATAGGAGGGCCTTAACATTGGAAAATTACCTTTGTTGTTTTTAGTAATTTCTTTTTCATGATGATTGGAAAGGTAAAATGCTCTTTTCTCTCTCATCTCCTAGGAAATTTCTTTCCTCATTAGCAGCTGTTCATCGAGATTGATTTTAGCTTAAGGTTTGAATCAATTTAGGTAAAGTTCAAGACTTGTTTTCTTTATGGATTGAGCGGTTGAATTATGGAAATTAATAGGTGTTGTATTGAGATCAAGCATTTCTATACTTGGATTGAAAATGAGTGTTTTTTTTAGTTCAAGATATGATAAAATGTAATCTTGCCTCTCCAATTATCTCATTTAGTGTGGTTTGAGAAGTTATTTGTTGAGTTGATGCCATGCCAATAATTATTAATTTAAAAATTTGAAAACACTTTTTCAGCGTGTTAAGGTATACCGATTGAATGATGATGGAAAGTGGGATGACCAAGGAACAGGCCATGTCACTGTTGACTATATGGAGGTTTGTTGATTTTTTTGGGTCTGATTGATGTTTCTGAAATATTGAAGGGACCCTGCTGCACTGTGGATTTTTTTATATAAAATTTGTAATCATTACAGATTCTTCCACTTAGCCAGATCTTTTGTTTAAATTTATATGTTATTATCATAGAGATCAGAGGAGTTGGGGTTGTTTGTTATTGACGAGGAAGACAATGAGACATTACTTCTGCATCGTATCAGCTCAGATGATATCTATCAAAAGCAAGAAGGTACTTCTAAATTATTCCCCAAGTTGAGCTTGTTAGGCACAATATAAACCATCATCCAAATCACTCTGGTTGTGGTTTGGAGGTTGTGGCATATTGTTCCCCTTTCCCTTGTTAGGAATACTATGTTCTTATTAAAAAAAAGAAAAGAAAAGAAAAGAAGCAAACCAGCACAATGAGTCCAAGGGGTTAGAGTTAAATGTGGAATAACACAATTTGAATAAATATTTGATCTGCAGATACTATTATTTCATGGAAAGATCCAGAATATTCAACAGAGCTAGCACTTAGTTTTCAAGAGGCTACAGGATGCTCTTTCATTTGGTGACAACTAATTTTCCCCTTTTACTTTCTGTAAATTTTCTCTTTGCATTAAGTATATTTCTAATATGCTCTTTATTCAGGGATAATATCTGCAGCGTACAAAGGAATCTTCATTTTAGTACTCTTAGCAGTAAGTGTATATAATCTTAATACGTAGCCTTCAAATCTCGTGTACCTTGTATTAATCACCACCATTTTAGCTATTGCTGTTCAGGTGCTTTCAAGTGAATGAATTATAGGTTGATCTAATTACTAGTAATGGCTATCTGATCTTTCCCTTTGTATGAGTCTAAATGTTATTCACATATATGTCTTTTCCTTTGTATTAGAATTTAATATCTTCAAGACCATGAGATATTTAAAGCTCCACTAAGATTCAAATAGTTCGAATCACCATGGTCAACCTAATGGTTATAAGGTCTTGTAAACTGAGATGTTTTGAATTCATGGGTTGAAATTATGACTGACTCCTTATTGAGGATATTGTATTTTGTAGTTTTTCATTTGGCATAGGCAGTTGAAGCTAACGCCCTATAGATTGAACAAAAAAAATTACAAATAGTATCTTTCTTTGCATTCAAAGGTCATAAAAATAGAAAGGCATGAATTGCGCAAGAAGTTGTACGTACTACATCTACAATTACCATTGGCACTAAACTTGAATGTTTGTTGTTACATCATCATCATCTTCTCCGTCTTTTTTTTTTGGTTTTAATTTTTGTAATAATGCGCTTAATGTTTTATTATTTGTTGAGAAATAATGTACAAAATATTAATCTTTCTGTTTATCCTTTTTCTTGATGAGCATTATGTATGCTAGTCTGACTTTTGGTATGTGCAGATGAGACATTTCATAGTGTGAATAGCGAGCTAAGGGAGCTTCCCGCCGTTGACCTAACTACACTTCCGCTAATACATAAGGTGTTGACAGATGTTTCTATTGTCTTTATTTTTCTTCTCCTTGGTCTTTTTCTCCCATCTCTCTTCTTTTATGGATGAGTAGCATGCATTGTAATTGAGGTTTAGATAATGTTGATGTTAAACATTAGGATTGTAATTGCTAAGGGACTATCTGATGGTTATATTGTTATCTTTTTCCTGATTCTAAAAGATACACGTTCCTGCGATGATGTCCTTTAGGGTTGTTTCTTTTGTTTTTTAATTTTTAGTTTCTCAATAATTCAAAGTTTAATAATGATCATAGTAATATTAATAATAATAATTATTCTCTTTCATATTTTTAAATAAGTTTTTGAAATTCTAGCTAAGTTTTATAAATGGATACAGATTTTAAAATATTTTTTTAGTTTTTGAAATCTGGCTAAGATATCAAAAATGTTTCTAAACTATAGATTGGAAAGTAAAGGAAATTACGGTCCTAAACAAGAAAATATTTAAAAACAGAAAATAGGTATAAATTGGCCCTTAGTGATTTATGTCCACTTGATAGCCTTGGTTTTACACTTCTTTTTTTTCTCTATATTTTTAACTATACAGTGTTTTAGAATAGCTTTCTACATATAAATTTCTGAGGTTGTAATGCTCTCTCTATCTGAATCGAAATATTTCTTCAATGTTCAAAATTGAATAAATACTTACTATACCAGCATATTATGAATCAATGATTTTTTGGCCAGTGTGATTTATTCGGTCTTTCCATTTGGCAAGCATTACTAGGTTCTTTCACAATCTTCCAGTATTGGAAAAATTTATCTAATTTTTTGTTCCCATTGGATATGTGTCTGTATATACATGTGTTCACATATATACACATAGAGATAATAAATATTGCAATATCAAAAAACAACCATATAGTTGTGTTGAGATTTTATTGTTCAGTAACTAATGTGTACAATCCTTTAGTTTAATATATCAATATTTATTTTGTGTAGACTGTGGTTGAGAGTGGAATTGCAGATCAAATGAGGTTGACAGAACTCTTATTGAATGATGTAAGAGCTTGAACTCTATGGATTTGGTACTTTGGCTGTTAGTTCATGTCAGTTTTGAAGAGAGCATGTTGGTGGTAAGCAAGCTGCCTGGTTTAGGTGTGGTGTTCGGTAGATAGATTCTAAAAGATCTTTTTGACAAGTTTCTCTATTATTTCTTGTGAAGTTAAAAGGATTGAGGGATTATGTGGAAGTATGTAGTTTGTTTTGCTTCTCTTTGGAGTTCTTGTTCCAAAACATTTTGTAATTATAATCTCCAAGTGTTTCCAATTGAAAAGCCTTTTCTTTTAAATAAAATTTTTGGGAGGTTTTTATCATAAATCAAAATTACATATCTGCATGTCTGCATCTGTTGATGGGACCAAGGATGTGTTTGGGAGTGATGGTAGAATGAGTGATTTTGAAAAAAAGAGATTTAAGTATAATTGATTTTCCAAAATCACCATCTAAGTGATTCCTTAAAAATCAATTTAAAGTGATTTGGAACTTCCATGAAATCAAATTTTTAATTTGCTAAACATGATCAATGGAAAGGGAAAGTGATTTTGACAATGATGGCCAAAATCACTCCCAAACATACCTCAAGTCTTTGTGAGTTCCCATAACCTTTTTATGTCATTGAGTTGCATGTCTTGGATGCCTAAATTTTTTTATTGATAGGTTTGTGAATGATAATAGACTTTGGTTTTGGTCTTCTATGGATTTATAGGCATGATATAACAGTTGTGGTGATATAAACCTTTGACAATACCGTCTTTAAAAGTTTTCCTGTGATGTCACAGATTTTGCGCTGAAGGAATTAACATGTGATTTGTGAAAATATAATTTCCTATCCTCCTTGGCTTTAAATGTGTTCATTCTTTTCACTGTTGGGTCTATGAATTTTTGTTTTCTGGGTTTCTTACTAGATTAGTTTCTTTTTTTAGATAAAGAAACTAATGAAGCTTTTTTTAGATTAGTTACTAGATTAGTTTCTAATTAGTATTGTGAAATTTTTCTGAATGAAACTACATTGTCATAATGCAGCAAGACTTTTTCAGAAAGCTGATGAACCTTTTCAGAATATGTGAAGACTTGGACGATACCGATGGTCTTCACATGATATTTAAAATAGTTAGAGGAATTGGTTAGTATGAGTTTTACCTTCTCTTTGTTATCATGGCTCATTTGGTGCTGGTACTGATAAAAAGTTTTTTTTTTGTTTTATTTAAACTCTTCAGTTTTGCTCAACAGTCCACAAATATTTGAGAAAATATTCAGTGATGAGATGATCATGGATATTATTGGTTCTCTTGAGTGTAAGTTCTTCTGTTGCTGAAAAACCTGACTGAATTTTGAATATTTCGAGTTATTTGGGGTTGGTAAATAATGCATTTGGATGATGCTGTCACTGTCATGCTTTTGGAATAGTCATTTAATTAAATACCAATTACCATTCTGTATTCAAAGGTTTTGTATGCTTCCTAACCTACAGACGACTCCCCTTTTTTGGTAAATGATTGATGATATATGCCTTTGTATCTTCATATCTTCATAATGATAACTTTTCAAATGTTCTTTGAATTTGGTTTCAAAAGATGCGCTGAGGTTTTACTAAAACTAATTTTCAAAAGTTTGAAGTTTGAAGTGTGAGTTTTTTGTTTTTTATGTGAATTTGGAATGTTTTGTTGTGTTTTGAGGTGGTCATGCTTGTGGACCGTGGTGGATGTTCCTTCACTTATTCGTTCCATTTGTTTGCATCTTTTTCTACTTCTTGTATTGACTGATTGCTCTATTTTATCTTTACTTGTATTAGGTAGACCTTCCTTGTAGGACCAGGCTTTGTTTTACTTTAGATTGCTTTACATGCCAAAAAAAGAAAAAAAAGAAAAAACAGAACAAAGAAGAAGAAGAAGAAGAAGAAGACAGCAGTATATGCATGTATTGATTGTGGGGAACGTTATTACTTAACTTCCATAGTATTATAGTAGTTCTAAAAAACTGACCATGGAAAAATGCTGCCACATCACTGCCAGCCTTTGTTCCCTTATTATTTAAGCTTTCTTGCAGACTGTACTTGGCCTTTACTGGCTAAAGTTGGCTAGAGGTTCTTCTGGCTTGATCCCTGTTAATGTTCCTGGCCTTTTCTTTTTCTTTTCCCTCTTTCTTTTGATTCAGAACCGACACTAAAATATGTCTCTTAATTAAGATGCTTGATGTATTGTTAGCCTTGATATTGAAACCCATGGCTATTTTTTAGTTATTAGAACTACGACTAACAATTTAGTTGTTAGGCTTTAACGGACTGTGTTTAACTTGAATAAAATAGCTAGCCTACTGCTGTAACAAAGGATGGATTAATTAATAAAATTTTCCTGTCCTGGTTTACACCATTTTGGTATCAGAGCAGCCTCGATTCTAAGGGCCTGATGGCAGAAAAAAACCAGCAAATATGTTCGGAAAAGAGGCGGATATTTTTGGATTGGGGACATCATCTCCACTCACAATTATTTCTCCAAGGACTACAACCAATCACATGCTGGTTGTTGAGGAATTTACGGATTCCAAGGACTGCTTCCAATTGCTTGCTGTTGGTTGAGGAATTCGTGGTTGAAATCCAGTGCCTACTAAACACCATAGCTAGGCAGATTGACCAATTAGTCCTGAATCAAACAAAACATCATCCACAAGGAGTGCCAATCTGAGTTTAGGTTGATTGGTTAAGACACTTATCTCTGATCGAAAAGTCGTTAGTTCGAATCCCTACTCCCACATGTTGTTGTATTAAATACAAAATATCATCCACAAGAAGCAGTAGAAAAGGAAGCCAATAATGCCCAAAATATTAGGCTGCAAGAAGATTTCGAGAATAAGTAAATAATCCATCAGAAGTTGTTAGAAACCATCCTCCTTATGAACAGCCAATTGGACGCAACAAAAACCAAATCTTTGATCAAGAATCCAATTCTTCGAGTGACGAAGATTTTTTTTTTGTCTCTGTAGAATAAGCTGGTCAAGCTTGTTGCTTTGAAATTAAGGGTTGAATCTTTGGATTGGTGGGAACAACTTGAAATAAATCTCGTTGATATGGGAAACGACCTATATGTAGCTAGCCACACATGCAAAGATTGATGAAAGACCATTTCTTGCCTGATAAATTTGAATTGCTACTTTAATACCAATACCAACAGAGTCAACAAGGAGTAGATCCATTGCTGATTATACTCGAGAATTTCAGCATAAGAATTTCAGTGGTTAAGTCTTGAAACAACATGGCTGAGAACGAGAATCATCAAGTCGGAAGCTTTGTTGATGGCCTAAAGGAGGATATTCAAGATCAAGTCGATCTTTAACCTATAAGTTATCTATCCAAAGCAATAACCTTGGCAACCATAATTTAAAAGAAGCTTAAACGAAAGCAATTAGCCCAAATATCAAAACAAATATCTTGGGAAAGACAATATAGAAAGAATTATACCGATATCACCAAAATTTTCAAGGTTCTACCTAACCAGCAACTGAAGGACAAAATTCCCATACGACAAAATCAAGCCACAAATATCCGAGGTGTCCAGCCAGCAAAGAAAAGTAGTACACATCAATAGAAGGGACCCAGTTTGGGAAAATGCTTTCGATGTGGACAAGTAGGCCACCTTTGAAGGGACCCAATGAAGGACTCCTTGAATGGTTAGTCATGCCTTTTGGTTTGTCTAATGCCCCGCATATATTCGTGAGGTTAATGAATGGGGAGAAGAAAGACTGAAAGAAAAAACAAGACCATTATGGTTGGGGAGGACCTAATTTCATGAGGGCTGGTGGGATAATTTTTTTTGGTCTTTCTTCATTGCGTATCCCGCTAGTGTCCCTGTTGTTTCCCAATGTATGCCCACATGTTCGATTTAGAAAAAAAAGGTGGACACTCTTATTTAGAGTGTCGGATGTGTGTCTAAGTGTGTCGGTGTCCGACACTGACACTTCAACTTTTTTAACGTGTTTGTGTTACCTAGAGGACAACAATAAAATACTTTCTTCTCTTTGATTTTACACCAACTTGTATAAATACCTAGCCTACTGCTGTAGCAAAGAATAGGCATTAATTAATAAAATTCTCCCTTCAAACCCAAACTCCTGTCTTATTCTAGGAATTGCATATTACTCAATGTATCTATTATTTTCTGATAGAACCCTAAATATATTGAAAGATAAAAGATAAACGAACTACAATAGCTACCAAGTATTAGAGGTACTTGGGCCCTCCCCTCTTGAGATATCACTCAAGCCAAAACCATACTCACTCATTGGATACCTTCATCCTTACACCCACACTCTATTTATAACACTCTCCCTAACTACTTTCCTATCTAATTACTAAGGTACCCTCAATACCCTAATAATATCCCTTTATTACCCTACGGACCAATCCTATCATTTTCATCCCTTGTTCTTTAACCTTCAACAATTTCTAGGTTGCTAAATTATATAATCTAGGGAACAAATCAGCCAACAACCTATTTTTTGTTCCTTTATCAAGCCAAAAAAGAGTGTTATTCCACTCCCTAACTTTTGATCTCAATTCAAAAATTAAAGAGTCCAACTTTGTTATGTTTATTCATGTACTCCTTTCTTTTGACCATACTCTTTTTCAGAAGTGAAACAATGTTCTACCATCTCATTAATACTCTCAATTAGATTTCTCTAAAGTGTTAGAGATACACTTTCATTACGCCACAACCACGTAGCGAATCGATTCTTATTTCTCTTTGGTTCTACTTATGCCAGACCACCTTGAGTATAGGGAGGACACACTTATGCATTTAATGCAGTCTCCACCAAGTTTAGCTCCCTCCCATTGAGAATATCTAATCAGCATGTTTATCTTGAAAGTGACTACATTTAAGACAGGAGTGGTTGGCTAAAATAGCCTGAAGGTTAGGTGACTTCCTTTTGAACAAATATATGTCCTCCATTTGGTGAATCTTCAAAAATTTTTTTTGAATCAGTCCCTAACAGAGATTGACTGGGGAGAATTCTCAAACAACATAATTTCGGAGTAGTTCATGAAGACAACCTACCTTGCAAGTTGCAACCTCACAACTCCTCTATTGTTTGGGTTTTTCTTTTACTGATGTTGATACCAGCTGATACCAGCTACTTCAGACGTATCTTTAACCCTGAAACTACCTCACAGGTCTTTTCCAAACCCAGAAGATTTTTATTTTCTCTTCATCCAGAAATTGGAGGTTTTCAGGCCCCTCTTATATCATAACCATACACTCTTATACCAATATCTTTTGATTGCTTTAAAGAAGAAGCTTATACTTTCCTATAGGCTTTAAGCCCGCCCAAATATTTCTTCCTTAAAAGCTTCACTGGGATTACCACCCTTCTGACATTAAAGTTCATCTGAAGAATTTTAACTCTCTTATAAAATTAAATCCTTCCTCTCTCTCTCTCTCTCTCTCTCTCTTTTTTTTTTGAAAAGAAACTATTTCATTGGTTGGAATATGTATACAAAAGGGAGAGACCCATAGTGGGCTACAAAAAAGCTCTCTAATTAGATAAGAGAGAGGCATAACTATAGTGAGGGGAGCATTTACACCAAGAAACAACCAATACAACTATAGAATCAAATAGATGATGAGAAGAGTGCTCCCTTTCTTGAAAAATTCGATGATTTTGTTTCAGCCAAACAGTCAATAGTAACGCCTGAACAAATGAAGCCAAAGGCAAAGCATTTCCTTTTTGAAGAGGCGACTAGTGAGAGTATAAGCCAATAATTGAGGGATATCCTGAGGTAGAGCAACCGACCATCCAAAAAGAGAGAGAAGCTTTTTCCATAAACTAATGGCTAAGTTACAAGAGACAAATATGTGTCCAATGGATTCTCCATGTTGCTTGCATAAGGTGCACTAGTGAGGGAAGATATTTATAAAGGGGGCATCCTTCTTTGTAGCTTGTCTTGTGTGTTGATAGCATGGAGGCTAGATTCCCAAAGAAAGAACTTAATCTTCTTGGGGTAGTGATCCTTCCAAATAGTGCTGTACAAAGAGGAGGAGGCCGGTGTGATAGCTGATCGATGGATGTCTTTTAGGAGGGAGGAGGTACTGAATTGGCTGTGAGATTCCAATCTTCGAATGACAGCATCCTTGTTGGTTGAGAGATGAGATGAGGAGAGATTGTGCAAAAGAGATGCCAACTCCACAATCTTAGCCTCCTTGAGATTCCTTCGAAATTTGATGTCCCAAGAGCTATCAGCAGAAGACCAAAAATCATGAACCGCCCCCGATTTTTGGTTATGTAAGGCAAAAAGATGGGGAAAAGTGTTGCAGAGGGGTTCATTAGTGAGCCAAACATCTTCTTTCCAATCACCAAAAAGGTAAGAAGACTTTGAAGGGAGAATATGTTATCACATTTAAAAGATAAGGACTTACCTCACTTTAACTATCCCATATTAGAGGATAGTAAGACAATAGTTAGAGTTAATTATAGGGGTGAAAGACCATCTAATTTCCTAAAACTTGTCTAACAACCCTTCAAGAAATTGGGGTATCAGGCAGTTTTCATAAGATCGTTTAATTTTCTAGAACTCGTCTAACAATCCTTTAAGAAATTGGGGTATCAGGTAGTTTTTATAATTTTGGTTGTCTAGCGATTACTTCATCTTTTTTTTTTTTGTTCATTATTGCTCTAATTACCATGTATAGTAATTTGCAGACGGTCTCGTATTGTATTAGGCAGTTTTTCTTATCTTGCTCTAGGTTGATCTTTTATGACTTTGTTGCTATGTCTACCAGTGAGTCCATGCAATTTTTGAATGAGGTATAAGTTATCTCCACATTTGTTCATCTTGTTTGCCCCATTCTAATCGATAAATTTTTTGAGACATTCAATCCGTGTTTTATAGTTTCTTTGTTATTTACTAATATTTGATTGATTTTTTCTGATGTGTGTTACAGACGATCCTGAGGTTCCACATACGCAACACTTTCGTAATTTCTTGAAAGAGCATGTTGTATTTAAGGAGGTGAATCTTTGATACCTTCCATGTCTTATTTTGGTGGGGGACCGAGGGTTGCATGGAATCATCATGCTTGAATATTTGAAGTGCACTTTCCCAGATTTATCTTCATCTAGGAATCATCATGCTTGAATATTTGAAGTGAACTTAGTTTTCAGATTTATCTTCATCTATTTGCAATCTATCTTGTAGGCTATTCCAATTAAGAACCCCCTTGTTTTGTCAAAAATACATCAGACGTATAAAGTTGGCTATTTAAAGGTATGGGCCCTTGAACTTTATCTTTTCTGGCCTCTTTTGTCATTTAATTATTTCCCATCTATTTCAGGATGTTGTTTTGACACGAATATTGGATGACTCCATGGTTGCAAATCTGAATTCTATAATTCATGCCAACAATGCAATTGTAAGATTTAGAAGGTTGATTAAGCTTATTAGAATTTTTTAACATTGTTTTGAAGGCGGTCTTCTCTTGCAGGTTGTTTCTTTATTGAAGGATGATAATACCTTCATTCAGGAATTGTTTGCTAGGTTGAGATCGCCCGCCACATTTGATGACTCTAAAAAGGACTTAGTGAGTATTGGTTATATATCATTTGCATTTTTCTCTGGGTGTTATTGTAGTCTCCTATTATGCATTGATGTCTCAATGGATAATCTTGCACGAAGTTAAAATATGTTATTCTTCTAATATGAGTTTATGCTTCAGGTATATTTTCTGCATGAGTTTTGTAGCTTAAGCAAGAGCCTCCAAATGGTACAACAGCTCCGATTGTTCAGGTAAATAGTTTTTGTGGATTATTCAAGAATTGAAGTCGAGTTGCTTTATAAAAGAAGATATCAGGTAAATAGTTTTTGATTTTAATGTTACAAAGTTAAGTGACCTATCAAAGTTTTTCCCATGTAACTCTTCTCTCTCTCCATGAGAGTCGGGAAAGACCCCACCCTCATTGTGACGGTAGAGAGAGATTTGTTTTAGAAGGAAAAATTTAGGGAGTTGTGGGGTAAATTCAACAAAGTGAATTTCTAGTTAGGCTGGTGGCATGGGCAGAGAATAGAGAGTGGAGTTCAACTAAGGTTGGGTGACAATTCTGGATGTTCCTGTCACCTTATAATTCAAAAATTTGTTTGGAGTTTGGCGTCTTTGTTGAGGCCTAAAGGGAGAGTAGGAAGCCATTTTCATGGGTGAATTGTGGGAAGAAGATATCTGAATCAAGGCCGCTGGAAGAAGCGACAACTTTATACTTGAGAAGAAGGGTTTAGAGGGCTTCCTTGTGGGGAGAAAGAGAACTCGTCCGTTGCAGTTGCATTTATAATTCGCAGATGATACTCTCTTCTTCTATTGAGAAAAAGAAAGTTCCTTTATTATTATGAACTGTTTGCTTTTGTTCTTCGAAGTGATTTTGAGTCTTAAGATTAACAAAGGTAAGAGCTCTTAGAATTATGGCCTAAAGGAAGTCCTAGGCAAGAAGATGAGAAATCTTGGATCTCAAACCCACCAGGGATGCCCAATAGGAAAGTTTGGACTTTTGTTGTGGAAAACGTTCAAAAGCGTCTCTCTCCCAACTTCTTATTTTTCTTGTTAAAGTATATATTAGTATGTTTTACATTCTTTTAAATAATATGTATTCATTTTTCCTTTACCTTCCCCTTCTAGGATTTGGTCAACCTTGTATATTTGTCTATATATAGACTTTAGTAATAAGAATGAGACGTATCAGGTTCTCTCAAACCTTAGTTTCTACATGGTATCAGAGCTCTAGGTTTCTTCTAAAATTTTTTCTGCCCATTAGGGTTTTGATGCCCATTAGGGTTTTGTGCACATTAGAGTTTCGTGCCCATTAGAGTTTTGTATTGCTATCCAGCAAAACTCACTACTACCACCGCCGCCGCTGCCGACCACTGCCGACCATCGCCGCCGACCACCGCTGCCGTCGCTGCTGCCGACTGCGGATCACCGTCGTTGTCGTC